TGGCTCAGACATGCTACAAGCCGGAAAGTCGCGGGTTCGATTCCCGATGAGGTCATTGGAATTTTTTTTTCAATTGGCTTAATCCTTTCAGCCGCACTATGATCCTAGAGTCGACTCAGCCTCTACCAAAAATGAATGCCAGGAATCTTCCTGGGGGGTAAAGGCTGCCGGTCCATGGGGCTGACAACCTCACCGTCGTCTATGAGATGGTTGTCTGGAATATGTGGGAGCCTCGACGTCTCACAACCCTATGGGCCTCCTCGGCCTGTTACAGGGATAGCTTTATGTATAGGCGTATACGTATACACCAGAATATTTTCCTGTGAACTAGGGGAGGTGGGAGCGTATGCACACGTCGCTGTTTCGAGAAACACCGCGCTACGAAGTCCTTTGTAGGACGAGTCTAACTTACGCGATCTTCGTGATCTTCTTATATTAAACATTACTAGGGCATTAAATCAAGGATTGTACCATGGACAGGAAATATAATTCTTATCGGAAACTGAGAAATGCACACAGAAGGTTAGGATTAAAACCTCGAAGAAAGTTGCCACTTGCGAGATCAAGACATACGTGCAAGGATAATACTAAAATAAATCTTAAGAGAGAGAGTGAAGATTTCAATTTTATTAATCTGACTCATGGTATGTTTCCGTTGAGGGTTCTTGCGAACACGGTAACAAACGGTCTCGCGAAATCTGTTTCGTTTTGCCAGTTCCGTGTGTAATTTCAAACGGTACAGAGTCCAGTGGAGTTTAAGTTGTCGTACATAACTTGAAAGATTGGCAGAGTCGCCATGATTATAGTTTTCTTAACATGCAAGAAATTCTTTCCCCAGAATCTGTGTGTTTCAGATGGCTCAGGATAGGGTCACCTGGCAGGCTTCCATGAATACGGTAATAAATATTTCCGTTCCATGAAAAGAAAGCATGGAATTCTCTTGACCACTGGATGAACTTTTGAAGGATAAAGCAGCGTGGAGTTAGTTTGTTAGGTCTGTACGAATGAAACAAGAAGTTCTGAGACGAACAATTTTCCTACTTTCCTTTGATACGAGATGGACCGCATAGAAAACGAAAAAAATGGGGGGTGGGGGCACAGACACACAGAAAATTATACAGTAATAACAACGGCCCCTTGCCTAGCAACAATAGGGGGATCACAGACGCACTGCAAGTTGACTCATAAGCCTCCTATAAAAAATTATGGGGCGATACAAAGACATATGGACAGACAATAAGTTGATATCATAAGCTCCCATTTTTTTTTTCAAAATATAGCAAATAAGCTAAAAATGGACAAGATACGTAGAAGGTAAAAATCGGGTGATTGGAAGACTAGTAGAAAGTTAATATGGTTAATTTCGTTGTTCTGGATGCAATGACTCTTCTGTCTATAAACTACAGTTCACAAATTTAAACAAGTCTCTGACAGTGTTGGGTTTGAAATTCTCACGGCGGCGACAGTGAAGAATTCCATCTTCTCGGGTATAACGACCTGTAGTCCGATGAAAATCAGCTGACGTTTCGGAGGAATAGTTCGCCCCAGCGTTGAGGATGACAGTGAAACTAAACAAGGAACCACCATGGAGCAGGTAGCAAGCAGAGCTTCTGACTTTCACCGGACTGCACGGCGTTATACCCCAAAAGATTTTGTTGACAAACGGAGACCCGGACAGTGGAATCTTGAAGTCTGCATGACAGACCCGGATGGCATGCATCCTGATGTGATGTAATCGTGTCACTAGACAATGGAATAAGATGTTGCTGAATCACTTTTGTGTCACAACTGTACGAGAAGCACAATGTAATGTGGCATCAAAGTGCGAGAAATAAAACGTATGACGACACGATTTGAAATACGTGTAACGCGCATGCTAAGTCCTGCACTTTAGTAACAGGCTTGGTGTGGGAAGGCACACCTTCCAAACTCCATGGTTCCGCTAATTGTAAAGCACTGAAATAAAACGTAATATAAATATTACAGTTTACAATTCACATAACTAATTACCTGCTTAACTAAATTCTTGGAGCAGGATCCTTATTAAGAAAAATGTTTTCACTCAGGCGAACAGGAAATTCCCCGAATTTTACTCAACTCCAAGATTCAGTATTGTGTTCTCAATCCACTACTGGACGCCATCCTGAAACCGCTGAAATCAGTTCCACATTTCCATATCCTATTCAGTTTAAGATTAATTTTAATATTGTGTCCACTAAAAATGTTGTGGTTTTTTCGAAATAACTTCAAGTAGGTTACTGGGATATTGCTTTAAAATCAGGCACGACAATTATCCTTTTCAATTAAGTCATTCTACCATTAGACATTGGTAAAGCGTTTTGAATTGGTCTAAGAATCAATTAGTCGAGTCATATCCATGTTTATATATGATATATATAAGTTGTAGCTATTTAAGAATGTCTTAAAGTAAGATTATTTTCACGAGTATCTCCGTCCCGCGATCATTTCGAAATAATGTCATGCCCCCCCCCCCCCCCAGTTAAAATAACAATCTGTTTTTGTACTCCACTAATAAATAAGAGATTCAGCGAAGAAGAACGGAAGGAGGAATGAATGAAATGAAAGACAAAGTAGGTCAAAATGGCCTACATTCACCGTGATCAGTATTCATTCGCATATGTGCAGATATTTCAGGGAGAATCTGAGCCCCTTGCTTTGATGTAAGTTGTAACTCGCGTGGATGTCGGTTGGCCTTAGAAAGTGCACCAGTCGTTGCGAAGAAGATTTGAAACTTCGCCACCGTGCTGAGCACCATAACTCCCATTGATAAAGTGTAGCGACTGTGACGCGCCTGGCTTTAAGTGGGAAGGACACCATAAAGATTCGGCCACACAGAGCGCTACGTACTCCAATGTGACGGGCCACACAGACTTCCGTACGCTACCTACGCTATGTTCCCTATGTTAGCTGCGTCGCAGAGTGTACACAGCGTACGTAGCGTACGTAGCGAACATAGCGTATGTAGCGTAGCGCTCTGTGTGGCCGAACATTAAGTCGGCTGTTGCTGGTACTCAGCGTTCGCTTTTGTAACCTAAAGAGAAGACGGATGGATGTTAAGGAGATGGTTCCGCTCGTGCAGGTTAGCAGGCAAAAGGTAAAGCTATCCCTGTAACAGGCCGTGAAGCCCCATAGGGTTGTGAGAGGTCGAGGCTCCCACATTTTCTCTTAGACAGTAGGCTCACAGATGACAGTGAGGTTGGCAGCCTTACGCGCCGGCCGCCTTTTACCCCCCACGAAGTTTCCTTGCACTCATTTCTATTAGAAGCTGAGTCGACCCCAGGGCCATAGTGCGGCTGGAAGGCTCAGGTAAATTGAAAATATGCACCACGGGATTCGAACCCGCGAATTCATTTAGCAAAGTTATTTCAAATACTGATATTAGGCACTTTTTATGTGTTGTCAGAACCTCCGCTATGCTCATCGCACTGATGAAGGATTGTAAGGGAGATTATCTCCCGTATTTCTCATGGTATCCATGTAAAATGCATGGAGATAACTCTAGGTATGTGATATTTTATCTTTTTCTGCCACTCTGCCTTTTCTTTATACTAGTTTCTGTAAACAATTCACAATCCTAATGAAGTGGGACAAATATTTATTTGCAAAGGCGATGTTTTTGTAAGTGTACGTCAGCCTTAGAGCAAGTCAGATATTGAGAACTGGTGTTCCACTTGATTGGCGAACAGTCAGTGTGGCTGTTGCTCATCTAGGCTCAAATAACTTACAGTGGGCTATGTAACAATGCTGTATCAGTAAGAGAGTATTTAGGGTTGATAATCAGACGAGATGGTAGTGACATAAGTGTAGGGAAGGTCTGCTTATAGTTGCAGTCATGGCATCCGACTGGATGAACTTGCAAAATCAGCTAATATCTTCACTGATGATTGTCAGTGTTCCGAGATTCTAATTCAAATCTAGAGACAACTTTACAGTTTCACTTTTATAAACTATGTTAACGCCGTACGACGAAGATGTATGAGGAATTGAGGTATAGATCCACACATTCATAACCTCGGGACTAGATTGAGATGATTGGTGAGCTTCTGGAATACCACGGGCAAAGATACCTCCATACCCACTGCACAGGGAGCTGGGATAGTACCAGAGACGGTCTGGTCGCTGTGGAGAACAGAATAATCTCTTATCCTCACTGGAGTCTAACCTTGATTCCTCGGTCTTCCAGCCCATAGCCTAGTCAACAGGTTTACTGAGCTATCCCGGCTCCAGCGTTTCTAACAACAAAAGTGCAATTTAACTCGATTATGATTGATCAATAGGATGGAATTCTATTCGAGTCAGAAATCGTTGTAATTGCTTCCCATTGGAAGAACCGTGTTGCATGTTGTTGTTTTTGTTATTATTATTATTATTATTATTATTATTATTATTACTGTTGTTGTTGTTGTTGTACCTTGACAAATTAGGTTGTCTGGCCGTGCCCGTCCAGAATTAATTAATTCTGAAATTTGAATGTTATAGACAATCGACAGGACTCATTTACCAGGTGATCAACCCATACCAAGGCCGCTACATACAGAGGACAACACAAACATAGAATTGACTCAGATATTTATGTCTCGAATGGGATTCGAACCCATGATCCACATGTTTGAGCGAGTGAAGACATTTCGTGCCTTAGGTTGCTCGGCCACTATATTATTATTATTATTATTATTATTATTATTATTATTATTATTATTATTATTATCGCTGGTATTATTGTTTGTACGACGTTTACTCCTCATTCTGTTACGTCAGACTTTTCACCCACGTTCCTCATACAGTTTACACAGAGCACCTTATAACAAATGAACAGTAACTTTTGTGGATGTACAGTCTTAAATAAATACATAGTTACAACCTATTCAAAATAAATACATGTATAGACTTTTTTATGCTGCGGAAACATCTTACGTGATGTGTGACAGGTGGTTTTACGGATGCTAAAGAACCTTGAGGCACTGAGGAAGAGCACTTACCTCTGTATGGAAGCGGGGTTATGGTCACGGCATGTAGACATCCGCAGACCAACAGAATGGCTCCTGCACACTTGTAAGGGAGAGAAAACAGACGTGGTTATTCATGGAATTCATTATACATTAGAAGGTCGACTGTTATTTGAGTTCAAGGATGTTCTTCTGTGCAGCTCCTAGGCACAGAAGAAGTTACGTAGCTGTAGAGCCATTTCCTTCTCTGTATTGGCAGTTGTTTCGAAATAATTAAGCTCCACTGCATAAAGGTTCACTTCAATAATGACTAATTATTTTTGTTTCGGGGTGGTGTTAATGTTGTCCCCTCTTGCAGCATGCATTTTTTTTTGTAAAATGACATGTTTATTTTACGTATGAGTGTAAGCTAAAAATAAAACACAATTAAAGAGAAATATGTGGTTCATAAGCTTATATAAGATATACAGGAAAATCAGTCTGAAAAGAGACTTTGTGAAGCGTAAACTTTTTTCATTGAAAACTCTCTCTGGGCCCCAGAAAACACTGAAACTAACGTAAAATACTCATACCTCTGATAGACGGAAACTGCGAAAACGAAAAGAAAAGCACAAATATAACAGAAAACATTAAGCTTGAATGTTTATTGTTCATACTTTTCTTGTTTACTGCGTTTCCTAAAATTTGTCCTGTCACAAATCGGAAAGAGTAGAGCCTGATCCTCACAAAATGGGTGCATATTATTTTAATGAACTTCTGGAAAATTAAGGAAGAAAAAAGAAGGAAATAAGAACAAACAAGCAAATTGCAGATGTGCTCTACTCCGTAATAATGCGGTGCAGGATTGATATCTGTCGTGTGATTTCGATCGTAACATAAACTAGCAATGTGCAGGCGCAAATGGCCAACAGTTTATCTTGTAGAAGCACTTACGGTACCTGCTGTAGTAAAAAACAGCACGGCCATTGAGAGAACGTATTTGGAATACTCGTTTATTCTATTTCGGGGTAAATATTTGCACTTCTTGTTTAATGCTGATACAAATATTTTAATGTGAAAGTAAACAAATAAATGTTCGTCACGTTTTAATGGTATAATCTTATTGTTAGCCTACTTTCCTTATTTTGAGAAAAAAATAAAAGTAGGTTTATGAGATTGCCATGCTATCTGTGCGTCTGTGAATCTCCTCTTTCATCTCAACTTTCGAGAACCTGAACCAGTCTTTATGAAACGTGGCACCTGAGCTCATCTCAACGGCGTACTTCATGCATCCCTGTTATCCGTCTGTGTGTCTGTACGTGTATCCCTCTATCGTTACTAGGCAACGGCTCTGTAAAATCGTTACCGCGGCAACGAATACACACGACAATAGAAGAATTATTGAACGCGTCATCTTCTGTGCAGTCGGTGTCATACAAAAGGAAAATGGCTATTAGTTCTTCCGAGAAATTTTTGTTTATATTTTCATCTTTAGATTTTTAGATATAAAAGTAAGTAAAGGTATCCCCTTAACAGGCCGAGGAGGCCCATAGGGTTGTGAGATGTTGAGGCTCCCACATTTTCTAGACAATCGGCTCACAGCGTTGTCAGCGTTACGCACCGGCCGCCCTTTACCCCAACGGATATTCCTGGTACTCATTTCTATTAGAGGCTGAGTCGACCCCATATATTTTTAGAAGTAAGTCGAGAAAGAAATTTGTGGACTGTTTGAATATTAGCGTAATCTCAGTTGCCTGCTTTAGTGTGTTATGTTGCCGCTGTTGACTGCAATGCTCCGAAATGTGTAGGGCATATGGTACAAGTATTAACCTGGTAGCCGACGGTAAAGGGGAGGTTAGAATATGCATAGATTCTGAGCTGACTGGTAGCAAGCTTTCCTCGGGAAATATTAATTTCCAATATAGTTACTAGCAATAACTTTCTGAAGAGCAACAGTTTAATCTTAAGAGCTTAATATGGAACGTAACTTTCGCAGGAACTGCTCTTCTCAGTTCTCAGTGGAGGCGGAAAGTCAGTTGTCAGTCTCTGGTTTTGGATAAGAATTGTGAAATATTCATTGCTTCCTTGTCAGTAGGGAAGTCACTAGGAGGCGGCGTGCTGATGGCTTAGCTTCAGCCTAGTCCTACATTCATTGTAAGCTATTATCTGGCTTCAGATACATTTGGATTATGTGACTGAATGCTGCATTGGATGACACTATTTACTCTTCCTATTTTTATGCATGTTCAGTACCCTTTATTGATTTATGTAAAATTAATAACATTGATGCGGGATGCAAGGTAAAATTCTACAGTAGGGCTTATTTCAAGTGGTTTGGGTATATATATATATATATAGTTTTCCTCTGTGCATATTGTGTTTAATAATTGAATTAAAAATGAATATAGAATTACAAAATTAAACATAATATATCATAATTATATACATTTTCATGTCTGTCATTTTGAATGTGAAAGTCAGTAGGTTTTATTTCTATAAGTTATGTGGCTTATCTTACATTTCATATAGTAATGTAGCCATTTATTTTTGTAAATGTGAGTTGTATATTTGATCTGTATCCCTACCATTTTGCTATTATAGCTGCCAAATTCATGTTGCGCTTGTATTATTTTGTAAGATTACAGTAACTCCCTGCCGATCACAGTGGCCACGCGGTCTAAGGCATGAACCGACTTTTCGAACACTGGGATCGTGGGTTAGAATCCCACTCGAGGCATGGATGTCTGTGTGCGTTCATTCTGTGTGTAGGTAGGGGCCTTGCGACGGGCTGATCCTCCGTCCGAGGAGTCCTGCCCACTGCATAAAAGCTCAAGAAACTGAAAAGCGTTCAGGGTCCACATGGGCTGTAGAGCCATAGAGGGATAGAGAGTGCCTAAGGCCGCGCCATAGCTCAAGCTGTTAGTCAATGGCTTGCCACCGCTGCGGCCCGGGTTCCATCCCGGGTCGGCTCAAGTGGTATTTGTGGTGTTTTTTCTCCGAATACTTCGGTTTCCCCTGCCAATCTTCATTCCACCAAATTCTCCATCATCATAATCAGCCGGGGCAGGCTGCAATAGGCCAATCAGTGGCCGCCGTGCCAAGTGGACCCAGTTGGACTCCACCCCCCCACTAAGCGAATTAAAAAAGAATTACAGAGTACCTCCCAATTTTTAGTCATGGTTGTATGGAATGTTTCTAAAAATAAGAATAAAATTTTACACTGCCGACTTAACATTACTTTACTTTCAGACAATCAGAACACGGACTGGAACATTAGTCATACCTCGACCAACGGTATCCCGACTTAACGAATTTCTGGACTTACGATCCCATTAACACCCCTTAAACTTTTCGGATTTGACTCGAATCTAATTTGTTTTAAACTCTCTGGTATTAATTAACTCGCACTTCATAGATATCTTTAATATTCTAAATATTTAATACTACGTTATTTTATATCCCTTTATTGATTTTTGTGGTAAAATAATATATATAGGAGAGGTTGAAATATTAAAAAAAGTCTCTGAGCTTTGTGCTCCAGGAACATAACCCTGTATATTCCTTGTTACGACGATCTAGACTCCGAACCAGTTTTCGGGAGCGCGTGAAATCCTAAGTCCGCGATACAGCTGTACCCACTTTAACCCTCGCGTGTAGCAGTTTCATTTGAAAGCTTCGAAACACCTGCTTAAACTGGCTACTTAGACTGCTGTGAATTGTCACAGTTAAAATTCTTAATAGTTCACTTACGGACTACATGTTGTATATGTTGAGGCATGTTACATGCATATCTTGTATAGACAAAGTCAGTTGGAATGCCTGTTTCTTTACGTTCATAACTGTGATCTAAAGACACTGGTTGCGAAGTCTGAACAGCACTTAATCTTTACCCATTGTTTATTCACACACTTTCGCGCCGGAGCCCTACCTGAATCCCTCTGGAGGAGATGTCCATTCCTGCGTCACGTTCTTGAACGTACTGTCGGCAGTTTACTGCTGCAGCTTTTTAAGTAGCAACACGCAAGGTTGGTTCTTGCAGAAAATATCCAGCGTTGGGTCACCACCGCCAAGTTATCCCTGCCCGAACAGAATTATTCATTGTTCGCCTTCAGCACATGGACTCTTGTGCGTGTGCTACTCTTTTCTTTATTCTAGTGATGAAATTTTTCTCCTTTTTGCACAGAATAATTGTGGACATCTACGACCTGCCCCTCCCAACAGTGAGCATGTTGTCACCAAGGCCTTAATGAAAAACACTTGAACACAATGGAGACGTAATCACAGGGACGTGTCCGTAAGAACTTTGCGTCAAACAAATCTCTGCGGAACTAACGACACGTTTATTTCGCGATTTACTTGAAGACCACTAAAAGAAAGATGATGATTCCATTCTCAACTTCGTAACAAACTTCAAGCGAAGATAATTATTTTTAACTAATATTAATTTGATTTGTTACATTCTGGTCCGTCACACTAATATTATGAAAAAGTTAAATAGTTCCGTCCAGTGTGACTGATTAAGATTTTCTTATTTCAATTATCCATGCCCTTACATGTTTCGGTCTTCAGAGACCATCTTCAGAGGGACACCTTTACATCAATACAGTTATAAGCCATTATTACAGTATACCTGTATGTTCTAAAAGTTAAAATATATACATAGAATATAAATAATATACTCGTACAATTGGGTGTAAAATGTAAAGTCTTTACAACTACAGCGGCTGTTCCAATACGTTAAAATATTTATAGTTANTACGAATTCCAATAGAATCTTAACAAACTAACTATAAATATTTTAATGTATTGGAACAGCCGCTGTAGTTGTAAAGACTTTAGACTTTACAGCCAATTGTATATTATTAATATTATATGTACGTATATACAATATTTTGACTTTTAGAACATGTACTGTAATGATACCTTCTAACTGTATTGATATAAATATGTCCCTCTGAAGATGGTCCCTGAAGACCGAAACATGTAAGGGCATGAATAATTGAAATAAGAAAATCTTAACCAATCACACTGGACGGAACTATTTAACTTTTTCATTCCTAATATAGATTCACACTAGATCTCGAAATATCATATGCTAACACCGAAATATAAGCCAATGTGCCATTTTATGTACATTGCAAATCGTATTACCTAAAGGCCTGTTAGCCGGTCACGGTAGCCGATCGTCTACACAGTGTTCCGTAACATTCATCTACTCGCGGCACACCATGAAGTGTCCAGGACTCAACACGGCACACCAAAATGTTATTCCTCTCAAAAACGCATGATATCAGACAATTAATATAAGTACGTAAGGCGATCAACTTATTACTATAATATTATTATATTGTTATTTTATTAACATTAAACAGAAATCGACTCGTGCGTTTATTAACAATTAATGAACTTTAATTCACACTAGAGTGTAGAAAATACACTTCTATTACTATTAAAGTAAATACAGTAATTCTACTCATACCTTCAATGTGATACTTGCGCCTGCGTAGCTGCACACAGGCGACTGATCCGTGGTGGAATCGTTGACACCGCAAGTCTCATTTCTTCATCGATGGATTTGAGCCGCTCCCTCTGCGATGTCTTAATTTCAGTTAACGTCGAGAAGCCCAGTTCACACAAATATGTAGTTGAAAATGGCAATAACACATTAACTACCATCTCGGAGATAGCCGGGTATTCACTCCTTATTGCCAACCAAAACGTATCCGAAGGCACTTCGAGAAGTTTTAGTTTCAATGTTCTGTCTGCTTTTAAATCTGCGAGTTCCTCTTGTATATTAATCGGAAGATGTTCTGAATTCGCAACGAAAGGATCACGAACCGAGTCGAAATTTTGTACACTTTCTCCAAAATACTTATTGAATTTCTGCTGCAGCATTTCTAATGTTCTTTAATTGTGTCCATCACTACTTTATTGCCGTCAGCAAGTGGCCATACAGTCGGGAACATCTCAAACGACCCATCTGTAATTCTCTAACTAGCAACCAAAATTTGCGAACTACTTCAGAGCACAGCTGTGATAGAACTGAAGCAATTGTAAAACGCGGGATCTCTACTCTTCAAACGGAAGAAGTGACACTATACAGATATATTTTTGAAATATTTATAATTTTAAATGAAGTCCAACAATCGGTGGGTACATCGTTACAAGAACAAAGTAATGAAGTTTAAGAAGTTCTAACTTCTAACAAACAGGGGCAAATACCAAAACAATTTTATAAAAGACAGGGAAACCCTTGCTGATCCCTGCAGTTTTAGGGAAAAGCACGTACACAGAACATGCGGCAAGCATATCAAAGAAGCCGCGTAGATGCGAGAAAAATAAAAATAAATCAATAACGAAGACTATGATATAACAACAACTGTGAGTAGATCATTTACGTTTAATTTCTTAGAATACAACTTTACTGTACATAAAGAATCACAGCTTGTAATAAAGAATAGACAAGCATCATCTTATTTAATCAGTGCAGTGGCTGAGAATAAAATACAAGCATATGAAACACGTTAACTGGGATAAAGTAAAACGAATAAAATTCTACAATTAATTTCTTACAATAGGTAAAAGTTCGCGTCACACCTTTCACCTTGTGACGGCACACCGGTTGCGGAACACTGGCCTAAGGCATGAACTGTCTTCGCTCGCTCGGAAGCCAAAATCAAATCCCACACAAGGCATGGATGTTTGGTGTGTGTTTGCGTTTATTCTGTGTTTGTGTGATCCTGTGTCTAGGTAGAGGCCTTGCGACGAGCTGATCACCCGTCCAAGGAGTCCTCCCGTCTGTAACCATGATCAAGAAACTGAGAAATGAGCCCTGTGCTGCAAATTGGGAGCAAGTAGAGAGAACAGAAGGCCCTTTTGTTCGTTGGTTTATTTCGTGATGCTATAGACATAGTGAAGTTCTATATCAGCATTCTTTTAGCGAAATGGGGGAAGAAACTATGGAGAACTCAGTAAGGAGTTCCTCTCTGCAAATTTAGAAATGTGATCTTCCATATTAAGAAACAAGAATATTAACCACTACACCGTGAACTTCTGTGTTGCGTAATGGTCATGTTGCTTCTTGGTTATGTTGTGTGTTTAATATTTGTAGGAGAATATCATGAATTTCAGGGGATGAGGAATGCTTACAAATTTTTAGTCGGGAAACTTGAAAGGAAGAGACCTCACAGAGACCTAGGTGTAGGCAGGAAGGTAATATTAAAATTAATCTTGAAGAAATGTGAACTAAATTCAACTGGCTCAGGACAGATCCCACTGGCAAACTTTTGTTGACCGTCGGGTTCCATGAAAGGCTAAAAGTATCTGACCCACGAAGTTAGAGATATTAATGATTAAATAGACACGAAAATAAAATACTAGAGGAAAGAAATGAGAACCGTGGGGAATCTCGAATTGTGTTGGAAATAGCACGACCTGTTTTTTACAGCCGACAGGTAAAGCCTGAGAAAATGTGTGCCTTGTGCGCGGCGCCGGTATTTACGGAAGTTATTAATAATAATTACGAAGAGACTTTTATACAGTAGACGACGACCACTGAGTATAATTTTAATTGCAGTTTTGCAACGAAGTTCCGCTCTGGTACATATAAAAATGCAGGAATAATAAGCCACAGTCATTTCAATAGAAGGAGAATTATACGCCGGTCGACTGATTTAGTTTCTTTGCTACGAAATGACTCGTCTTAACAGAAATAATGTTGACGCGGGAGAAAGTAAATGAATGCATAAAATATATTCTCACGCGTATGGGTGACTACAGACGGGGTTTGGATTGACAATCGGATTTATTGGACTCTCTGATTCAGCTCGTGGCTACATTTTACAGTTCACTATTACACACACACTAGTGTCCACTAGCTTTCACTAGCCGTTGCTCGGTAGCGGCCTTTAACGGCCTCAGCTACCATCTTCTCACAGCAACAACTCAAAATGACTAAACCTCAGTACCATAACTCACTGAATAATTCAGTCACTCATGACCTCAACTCAAGCAACTCTCGCGAAGTAAAAGTCAAAGCTATGTTACGAACGACGGTCAGTCGGCCAGTCTATCTTGGTGTCAAACACTCATCTGGAGCCCCAAGACCAGATTTTTATTATTGTCAGACAGTTGTGGGTGTGTTGATGTTGGGCGCCCTCTCTAACGAGAGGACGGATCTGTCGTTTAAAACTACTGCTGATCCTCGCCAGCGCAGTCATTCTCGGGTCCGAGTCCTACGGGTCTCATGATCATATTTTACTTTCTCAGAATCGAGACCCCGTACTTGGATAGCCAGGTCCTCGTATTTACATCCCCCAGGAACACGATGGCCAAATTATAACCCAAGGCACTGAGTTCAATTTTCGTCGCTTCCTACGACTAGCAGGGCTACGGCATGGACAGCACAGGAGACACCGTCCCATTATTGTTGTGCAATTATTGCCATGGAAACATGCTCCTTCACGAAGCCGTTTCCTAGCAACGGGTCTACATGCCACAATATCAATGAATCATTATTAATATTATTTATTATTTCAACTCATGTAGGCCGATGATATGACAATTCTCTCCTAAAATATTAGCTTCCCCGAAGTCCGACATGCATTTACAGATGCGTTAATGGTTGTTTTGCACGATTTGCATCAAATGAAAGCATAATTGGGCAGGCATGTCTGTCCACTCGCATGTATAGCCTGAAAAACTACTGAGTATATTTCAACAGAACGCAGTATTTTTACGGTATCTCATCGTAATGAAAGAATCTACACCGTGTGTCCAGGATCCGTTAGGACTCTTTTTTTTTTTTTGCAATGCCATCTGTTGGCGAGTTGTGGCGTTAAGTTTCTTGAAGTTTCAGCTGTGGCTGTCTATAATTTCAAAGCGCAAGCATCGCTGCATCATGTGTTCTGACCTTGAATGTAACAGTGCTGTTCTGACGCTCGTCGGAAAATGGCGGTTGAACAGAGAGCCAACGTCAAATTTTGTTTGAA